TAAGGACAACGGAGGCTGATGTGGTCCACGGTGAAAATGAGTTTGATACCCCTGATGTAGATTGGCATATTGTTGCAAACAATGGACTTCTACAAAATGTATTAGGTTGAACCATAAGAATGTACTGCTTTTGTAGTTCAAAAGCGGCCAGATATTGGTATCAATTTTGTAGGTCAAAAATGGTCGAATATTGGCAATTTCATAAGGTTTGGATTTTATTATTATCTGGCTGATCCCACTACCTGCCCCCCGCCATGTTTCTCATGAGTTTAAAAATATACCAGAATACTCATCAGGAAAACAAAACCTTTCAGGTTTGCTTAAGTTGAAGAGCAAAAATAACTGAGCTGCAATTTCTCATTTAGACCCATTTATTGCACAAGAACTTTTACCCCTTTACAAGCCTGAGCTCCATATAATACATCGTATTCTAGGTGGCATCAAATGAGAACAAATTCTTGGAGAACCAAACCTGATCTTAAATATGGATAATCTTAGAGTATATATCTGAAAGAAGCCAAACACCCCTGCTATTACTTTTCTCCTCATGCTTAATCACATACTTTCTTCCTTTCCCATTTTTGAATATGAGTGGCCTGGCTAGATAATTCAGAAGGAAAAGGATCTGGCATTTGACCTTCTCAAAATCCCAAACATTTGAAAGGAGCTGAAGAATATTTTTCCTTAAGAATATTTTTTGTTGTATCCACGCTTCGAGACTCTTGTATCTTGATAAATGCAAAGTGACCCTTATAAATTAGATTACCAAATATAAACTAATATCCAAACTACCTTTCACCACAACTTCAATTCCTCACTTTCAGCTGATCAGAATATACACGAAGCAACAAACTTGCCAGATGAAGAAGGAAGAAAACCTTCCTTCTGTTCCCTGCTATATTCTCCAACATTCCATTCCTTTCCTGATTTGTGTCTTATCAGCAAAGCTGTGGAAATATTAAGCCTGTAGGGAGAGCTTGCATGTATAAACCCCATGCCAATTCTTAAATAATATGCCACTGTAGGAAGTGGTGCAAATCCTCATCCTTTAAAGGAAATTCTACAGTGGGTCAAAATGAGTGTGATACGTTTTCAAGTGGCAGTTCAAATATCTTCATACCTGATATCAATATAGTTTGAAAATAAAGGCGATTATTGTACTTTATGCATAATGGGTAAGGATGCAATGAACTCCTCTCCAAATTATAGTAACTAAAAAATGTCAATGAGCATGTATAATACTGTAGACCTTTAAGGAATTCAGCTCTAAATAAACTGATCTGACTCATATGGACTGGGGGTTTGCCAGAAGTGGGATTGTCTAATACGTGTGACACTGATTAAAAACACTCTAAATCATGATGTATCTATGCTTACATCATTGCCAAAATGACTCATCTGTGTAGGATATATTCTTACTGCCAGAGATGTCATGTATCGTCTTGGCTAGAAACACACAGTCACATCCCATTATGGTGAATTCTAAGAGTTTATCCAAATTCTTTCCTATTCTGGAATTTTGTCAGGTTAATACTGCTTGACACACGTGGTCTTAAAATTTTCCATTCTAAATGTACTGTCATTTTGGCATTTGGCTGGGGCTGGCCTTATGTGACCGGCATCACACTGAGAATGTTTAGTTTCTTGAATTTAAAATCTATAATGTTTATCATATTATAGACCTATTGTCAGCTAAGGAAATGCCTGCTTTACAAGCTTTTTCTAAGATACTTTTCCTTCTAAATGAGGCCATATATTTTTAAATTTTTATTTGATATTGTAGTTAGATAACATAAAATCAAGAAGTTTTGCTTAAATCTGCTTAATTTAAGCACAGCCATTTTATGTTATAGAGAGCCAATTAAAAAAACTGGACAGTTTATTGACTTCATGCAAAACCCTTAGCACAGTATTTCCTCTTGGTCATTTGATATAGTTATTGGCATTTTAGGGCTGGTCATCAAAAAACCAGAATTTAACACTGGCCCTGAATGCGACTTTTTCAAATATGCTATTGCTTATATTTTATTTTGCAATCAAACTCTGAAAACAAAGAGTTTATCTGAGAAATACAGAAGGGCAACAACCATCCTAAATCCAGGCACTGTTGGCTTTATGAGCATATTAAGCACCCATTACATGGTGCAAAGTATTTATTGCAAATGGGCCTTAGCTACTAAAACGCATAGTTTCCTTTCATGTTGTGACTAAGTAATTTGTGATCTCTTTGGACTGAAAATGTACAGAAAGGTTGCATACTGACTGTCAGCAGGGAAAACTGCCATCAAATCAATGCCTGTAACATTCCTCACAAATTGCCAACAAGGGAGTATTGGGCACCCGCAGTGCTTGGTCTCTTTCATGGCAAGTGGCAGATTTTTCTGAATTGAACTCGGATGTACAAGTTCAGTGATACTCAGCCTCTGCAGGGTTGTGACACAACTATTTTTGAATTTGTTTTTTAAAAGACACTCCCCTGCTAACAGCATCTTTCCATCTTTTACGTCCTTCTTGGCCCCAATACTACCTGGTATATTTCTTTTTGGGTTGACTTTTACTTACAATATTTAAAAGCCTTCTAAAAAGTACAAAAATAAGCCCTGGCTGGCGTAGCTCAGTGGATTGAGCGCGGGCTGGGAACCAAAGTGTCCCAGGTTCGATTCCCAACCAGGGTACATTCCTGGGTTGCAGGCCATAACCCCCCAGCAACCACACATTGATGCTTTCTCTCTCTCTCTCTCTCTCTCTCTCTCTCTCCCTTCCCTCTCTAAAAATAAATAAATAAAATATATATAAAAAAACTCCCTCATTAAAGAAAAAGATGCTTCATGCTTAAAATTTTTTAATAAAAAAAGTACAAAAATAAGTTTTCTGAAAATTTAAATATTGTACTTTCTTTTGCTTAATAAGTTAATTTAAATAAGTTTTGAATATTTAATTTCATTTTTTTAGTGAAATTGATTTTTTAGTGAAGCTAATGTTAAGAAGCTTTGAATATTAGTATTTTTTTAACTTAAAATTAATATTAAGCACTATAGATTGTAATTTTATTTTACTTGATCCAGATTTTAGGGAGTTTGACATATTGTATCACAGTTTGAGCTCACTGGTAACTACCTGGAGTGTCAAAAAACCAGGAACAATAGTCCTTTTTCTAGTTCTGACATTCTTCTTCCTTCAACTTCAGAATCTTACTGTCTCCTTTGAGTTCCCCACCCTTTTCTTACTTCTGTTTATCTCTATCTTGCCCCCCCAAACAATCACAACAAAAAACACTATTTTTAAAATGAAAAGCTAAAAAAACAACAACCCCAAGCCTATGACTAATGATGAGCAAAACATCTTAATTTAAATCTTGACTCAAGCCTCTGTGGAAGCTAATACCTAGTCCTTACTCACTCTTCAAGGAGCCCCCTGTATTCTACAATCGACTCACTTTGTCTTGGGATTATTTTAAAGAGGCAAATTCTGCTGCCTTCTTAAGAGATTGAAGTCGGAAGTATAGCAGCCTCCTTCTCTGTTGTGTTCAGCGGTGATAAGTAAACCAACCTGCTAAATCCGCAGCTTGCTCAGTCTCTGCACAGTGCCCCACTTTCCCACAAAGGCTGCTATCTATGTTTATTGCCTAGGTCTAAATTCCCACAGGCCACAAAGCATCGAGGGCAGCCTGTAATTCTGCAGCCTTGCAGCCTTGCCAGCCCTGCTTATCACTTCACCAGAACACAGCTGAGATTTCCCAAGTAAATTCTTTTGCTTTTGGCTACCCCAACAGGGCACAAGGCATACTAGTGAACTCCGCCATAGTTATTTCTCAAGCAACGAAAAGGGCCACAGTTTGTCACATCAGTATCTGATTCCAAATGACATTTTAATTTTGCTAAAGCGATTGATGAGAAGTTACCGCTGAAAAGGGGGGAAAGCTAACCATCTGAATCCTTGGCCCGGAAGAACTCTGCCATCAGGCTTGCTGGGCATGTCATCTTCAATACCAGATGGACAGTCATTGTTGCTATAGCATGACCACTATGCCTTTGTTTTGAGCATTATCTCTATCAGGAAATTCCTGCAGCCCCAAGAGAGAATATAGTAGGATTGTCACACCATCATTTTAAAACATTTTCCTGAGTTCATAGCAGGGACAGGAGAAGTTTCGTTCTATTTAGGTCTTACTTGTTGCTTTTAAAGCTCTCATGCATGTACTTATGTCCTTTTGTGTGATGTTCACATCCATTCTATCTCTAGGGTGGGGAAACGGAGGGTAGCAGACACTGTCAGTGCTCAACGCATACACCCTCATGTTCACCATTCTGGAGCTCCCTGAAGGCTTCTGACTGCAAATACTGGTAACTGGAGGAATTTCTGCAGCTGCTGGAATGTGCTCCCCCATCTTCCCTGGGACGTGCTGGGGTGTTAATGACCCCAGGGAGGGCCCTCAGTGAGTCATACGCAGGGCTTCTGCATGCACAGCCCAGCTTCCTGCTTCCTCACTTCTGAAGGAGGGCCTCCCCGAGGGGTGTTCTCCAAGGTCTCCCAAAGGTCTCCCATAGGATTGAGCCACAGGTGCCCACAGCAGTAACCTGCTCATTAACGTGTACTGAAGTGTTTTCCTTCCCTGTCTCAGGTTCTCTTTCCCACCCTGGGGCTTCCTGGGCTCACCTCTCAAATAAACTACTTGTATCTAAATCCTTGTCTCAGGGTCTGTTACTGAGGATGCTCAACCTGAGACAGTATGGCACAAAGATTAATACCTGCTAAATGCCACACAGCTACTTAATGGACAACTGGGGCTGGAACCCAGGACTTTGGACTTCTGATGCATTTACCAGATAAGGTTGTTTCTTGCTGACCAACAGCACTTTATGTGATTGATCCCAGTAGTTCTGGGCAAAAGGAAGACACTATACATGAAACCAAGTCATTAGGTGGCTACTCTGTGTCTTTTTAGAACCCAGCCACCATTCCCAGCAGAAGGAACCAGAGAAATGAAGGGTGGTAATTACCTAGCATGACGAAAGGGACTCCCAGGAAGGTGGAATTGTATTTCCCACCAGTAAGATTGATGATCCCGGCCGCGGTGAGAGTGGCCAGGGTTATGGTCACCAACCCGAGCAGGCCTAGCCAGGGTTTGCTGCGGACGCAGTCCTGCATAGAGCAACAGAGGATGGCCATGGTGACCACCAGGATCAGGCTGGTGACCAGGTAACGTTCTGATACACGGCTGGTCTTCTGGAAATCTTCCCTCAGGGAGGAGGACGTGTAAGGGTACATTTTGACCTTGCTGTTGGATTTCTGGAATAGTCGGACAGTGTCGCAGAAGCTGGACTCCCACCTCTCAGCTACCATGTCATTGAGACTGTTGATTGACTGCAGGTAGTAGGTGAGCTGGACGGCCTCTGCGGATTTCACCCGGTCCTTACTGTGCACGGTGACGCCTCCGAGCTGGTGCCCATTGTACACGGCCCTCCCGTCCTTTAAGTGAGTGATCGGGTATGTGATAGCAAAATTGGTCCGGTTGGTGGCCCGAGCATTCTTGAGCTCCTCCAGAACATGCACTATGTCATCCACGATGCAAGTCTTATCGTTATTCAGGATACATATATGGGCGAACGTGTAATTGAAACCAGGTCTCGGAATCTGGATCCTGGTCACAGCAGCATGCAACTATGGGGAAAGAAAATGTAAATCAGCGTTTATTACCAAAAATAAGACATTAGTAACTGCCATTCGCTCTGCAGATTCAAATATAGGTTTTGGGGGGTGGGGAGTCCCTCCTGCCATCTCTAAGCTGAGGAGTTCAAATTAAATGTTATAACCTTACATCAGAAATAGGTAGTAAGGATGCAAAATGCACTTTGGACTCATGTTCCTCACGGTGTAATCCCTGGGCCAGCAGCATCAGCACAACCTGAGAACTTGCCAGAAATGAAAATTCTCAAGCTGTACCTCAGGCCTGGTAAATCAGAATCTCTGGGGTGGGGCCTAGAAGTCTGTTTTCACAAGCTCTCCAGGCGATTCTGATACAGCTAAAGTCTGAAAAGTGCTGGGTTAAAATACCAGCTCTGTTTCCATAAGCGGTGTTCTTTATTTGTGACTCGATTGATCTAGAAATGTCTGAAAATCTTACAAAGGCCCACTGTTCAGCTTCTCCCTCTTGAAAATGTCAAGGAAAAAGTGAACGGAGGTGCAGTTCCACGCACAGAGGTCTCTGCAGGCCCACCCCTCGCTGACTTGTAGGGCAGCTAAGCGATTTCCGCATCCAATTCAATCACTCTGTGCCATAAAAGACAAGTGCTTCACCCTGAGGGCCCTCCTATTCTCCGACTTTCCTTGTCTGCTTATATAGAAAGCGAGCCGTAACTGTAACAGTCAGGCTGGGGTCCTTGGGACTCACGCTGAGGGGGCACAGTGGGATTCATTCTGTACACCTCACCCTCAGTCCCATTTGCCAGGCCCAGGTCTGCATGCCTACGCTCCAAGTGCACCTGGGAATACAAACACTCATTTTACAGCCCCTAGGCCATGCCGGGCACAGTTGCAGGCCCTTTCTACAGATTATTTCATTTAATCCTCATAAGAAACTATAAAGTGCAAGAACTAGCTTCATTTTACACACGAGGAAACTGACAGAGAAGCCAAGTCACTTGCCCAACATCACAAACACAGTAACAGAGAATGGAGTGGACGGTCCAGCTCCAGAACTTGCGTTCCTGGCCCCTCCCAACACCCCTCTTGGTTGGCAATGCCAGCAAGTGAATGAAGGTTCTTGCTAGCAACTCATTCTTGAATTTGTGCTTTCACTGCCCCTCCCCTCAAAAAATCACAAGTGCTCAAGTTCACATATGTAGAAGTATGTGTAATCTACAGTTTAAGGTGAGAAAAATAAGGACTTCTGTCTGTGAATTGTGGCCAGTGTGCAAAATCAGGCCAGTGGTGGATGTGTCTGAGTGTTAATGAAATGAGCGCATGTAGGACAGGGCCTGGCCCTGGGTGGGCTCTTCCAAGAGCAGAGACAGCCATTATTGCAAATCTGATGACTGAAGAACATTTCGTATGTAAAGGTGAGCATCCAGAGTTGCCACACCATATCTATTCCATTGTAACTTGTAAACTGCTGAGCATCCCTGTGACCCTGATATGTATTATCTTAAATCTTTCTACATGGATTATTTACTGAGACATGTTGCTGTGCATGTGCCAGGGTAGGTGGGATATTTATTATGCTTTTTGAAAATGTCTTGGAGGTACCAGCAGTCAAAGTCCTTTACTCAGCACAGAGCATGAGTTATTAATCCTGGTTCTCAGTGTGCCCCTGCCCCACATCTCCTCACGGGACCCAAGCCTCAGGCTCAGGAAACAATGCATGTATTGCGTTTGGCTGAAACATTCTGAGTTCCTTCCTTATCTCTGTTTCCCTCTTTCCCAGAGACACCCAGGAGACTATTTTCACAAAACTCTTACCATATGCTAAATTTTTGTTTTGAGATTAATGATGAGCAAGTATCTTCATTGGTTTTAAACTGTGAGAATGTGTTTTCATCCATTTTTCCCTAAGCATGGCCCAGTGAATTTTGATTACAAGGACTCCTAACTACAAAAACATTCCAAAATGTAAAAGGTTATTTGAGAGAAGAATCAAGAGGAATTTAAATACAAGGGAGAGTTTCGATAAGAGTTAAAAGACTTTGGGGAGAGATTCAGAATAGGCTAGAAAAGGAGTGGTATTGGAAGCATGCATATGTGTAATATTTAGTGCATTGTTTGTTCCCATGAAAAGTCTAATAAATCTCCCTTAGAGTGATTACTAAATATGTCAAGAGAAAAGATTGCCAAATAAGATGCTGTTAAGCCACAGGGCTGAACCCAATTATAGCAAGGGGATATTTTCCATCCATTCTCTAAGGCAACCATGCCCTGCTTGGTGGGGAGTTGTAAACTATTTAGTGATCTGCCAGCTCTGTTGATCTACGGCTGTGACCCCTGGGACCACTGACCAAAGAAGGCAGACACCTTGTTAACCCCTGTACCACCAAATCATAGGAGGGAGGCTTGGAAAATGAGAACCTCACTGAAGTTTGACAGCGAAGGCTTCTTAACTCTTAGTACCAGAGCTGCTGTGAAATTGCAGCTGCTTTGAATTTCTGATGGAGAGGTGGGTAGAACATGTGTCACTTTTGCTTCTGAGTGGCATGGAGATGCTGAGTGTCAAAGCAGCCAGAGAGGGGGTGTTGGCTGAGGCCACCCACCTGGCAGGGAGAGTCTCCAGGATAAGAGGTGAGAGATAACAGGCATGGGAAAGGAGAATTAAGACTCCCTTCTGATCTTCGGTTCTTATGCCTACATAGCAAGTACAGGCATGATCTACTCTTGGCCATCCACATAGCCATGAGCAGACACACTGCCCATGGCTACTTGGACATCAGCCTGTACAGGGTTTTAAAATGCCCTGATTTCCTTTCCTAAAGGAGCCCCACTCAGAACAGCGGAAATATTAGTAGCTGTTCTTAGAAATTCACAGGGGAAAAAGGGAGCCACAGATTGCAGTTATGATTTCATTTGCTTAATATTTACTTTTTAAAAAAAAGATTTTGTTTATTTATTCTTAGAGACAGGGGACAGGAAGAAGAAAGAGAGGGAGAGAAACATCAATGTGTGGTTGCCTCTCCTGTGCCCCCTACTGGGGACCTGGCCCACAATCCAGGCATGTGCCCTGACTGGGAACAGCAGCCCTTTGGTTTGCAGGCCAGCACTCAATCCACTGAGCTACACTAGCCAGGGCTGAATACTTACTTTTAATTTCTGCATTGAAAAAGAAAAGGAGAGGAAACACGATGACAAATTAGCTTACAATGACATCATCTTTGCCTTTAAATTGGCTTTTGCTCTTGGGGATAGACGGGGGAAAGAAGGACAGGAAAACATTAAAGCATGACAGTGAAATGGTGACCAAGACACCTCAGTCAACAAAATGGAAAATCTCAATCCACACAAGCTTGTTATTGGGCTAGGCAAGAGATCCTCTTCTCAAAAAAGAAAACAAGGGGAAAACAGCACATAATAGTCGTCCTGACCCTTAATATAGTTTCACTCTGTCGTGTGCATCAACATATAATCCATGTTTCTATATGTTAGATTTTGAATTATCCCATCAACATACATTCAATAAGTTAATATCAAATCTACTGTGTGCTCAATAATGGGGTAATTTCCAAGTTTAGGGTTCTCACATCATACTCACCAAGTGGAAAATCACATTAAGAGGTACAATGTACAAAACTATGGGAAGATCCTAATAGCAGATGATGACAAGTGTTCTGTACTAGTAAAACCAAACCAGTGTCAATCCTGATCACAATATTTTTTTTTTACTAATATCGTATTTGCTGCCAAAGAGGCCAGAACTGAATGTTAAGTTGAGATTCATTCTATGGCTCTGAACGTACTCTTTAAATTGTTAGCTTCTTTGCACTCATCACTATTCAGGTTAAGAATGATGACAGTAATAGTGACTAGTCTGCTAAGTACTTTCTATAGTTTTAAAAATTTACTCAATACAGGACTCTGTGGGAATGGTTAAATCACTATTCCTATTTTATAGTGGGTGTAGTTGAGGTGCAGAGAATGTCAATAATGTACCTAATATGACCTAGTACGAAAGGGGCAGATGCAGGGTTCTCAATTAGGCCTCTCTCCACAGTGGGACACTTAGCCACAGACCAGCACGACTCTGGAGCTTTAGTGAGGATGAAGAGGACTTGGGGAAGAATGAAGAATCATCAGCCCACTTTGTTTCAGCGATCGGCTGTGGATATAGCTGAGCTGTGGGATGGCCACACTTGGGGATCCGGGCTCCATTAAGAGAGACCAGAAATCATCTGAAACACCAGACTTTTTAAAATGCCCTCACCCGAGGATACATTTATTGGTGGTGGTGGGGGAAACATTGATCAGTTGCCTCCTGTAAGTGCTTTGACTGGAGATTGAACCCACAGCCTTTTGGGGTACAGGTCGATGCTCCAACCAACTGAGCCACCTGGCCAGGGCACAAACCTCCTCTTCAAACAGCAACATTACATGGCAATATTAACAGGTGATGAAGGGGATGGGTTTTGAGATTACTGACTTTTCTTATTTTCCATCTGGCCTCTGCAGTTGCCACATAAAACTTTTCAAAGACGGGCTTAGCAAGAAAAAAAAGTCCACAGGCACCATAGAATCCAGTAATGAGAAGCTTTAGCTTTAAGTCTGCTTCTGCCACTTAGGAAGGAGTGTCAGGGCCCCTAGGAATATCACTCTGCTTCAGGTCTCAGATTATTCAATTCAACAAGGAGGTTGGTTGCTCTTGCTAATCTTATGGACAGATCCTTTCGCTTCTGACACTACATAATTCTAAACTGAGTGACACCCACAGACTATACAATCAGATCGTGGGACAGAGAAAGTTAACTTCATAAACATCAATTTGAGATTTATTATAGTTACTTGAAGTATGCTTTTACAACACATTGAAGTTCTTTTTTAGGTCAATGACAGATCTGATAGTAAATGAAACTCAGAAGAAAAACTACCGGGTAGGGAAGATAGGGTTACTGGGGAAAAAAAGATTCACTTCTAGGAGTGATTTCCCGTTCTGGGGAGGCACTCTGGCTCTTCTAATCCCCTTC